ACGCCTGTAGGAATACACTAGGTATAAGATGACTTCCTAAACTATTTCAGATTTCACTCGCATAGTATTTATCGTAAATTTAATTAAAAGTCTACTATCACTTTCGATTAACAGCCTCTAAATGGACAAACACCACCAAATGTCTTCCATAGACTTCCATACAAACTTGAGCCCCTCTCACTGATACATATACTGAATTTCGGGCAACATTATCATAAAAGTTAATCTGGAAAACAAAACGTGCGAAAAAATATACCGCCACGCGGCACTTTTACTTTTAATTTAAATTTCTTTACAACAAAGTGCGTTTGACACCAAATGAAAATCTAACCAAAGTGCACCCCTCCCTTCAAATTTTTACCTGTAACTCCTATATATCTAAAAAAAAAAAAAAAACAAGTCTTGATATGAGATTTTTATCAACTTTATTTCACTTGTCAAAGACATAACAAGTCTTTTCTCTTATACCACCAATTACGCACCAGACAGCATTTTCTCCTCCGCACAACTTTGGGTGTCCAAAATGTCTGCACCCATGTATTTGTTTATGTAGGAGTTTTTCCTATAGAGTAATAGAAACATTAATAAAAAGTGGTCAATTTGGTATATTTAGAACACATATCTATTGCTTATCTCACCTGTTGAATATTGGGACTGACAGTTCCAGCTAAAGTACACCATTGGCTGTTACATTTCACACACCAGTCAATCAGACCCACATCTGTGAAACAAGAGATATGTCTATAAATTGAAGCATTTTTTTCTAATTTTCTTCCCTTCTTTTGAAATAAAATGGTTAATCTAGCATATGTTTTGCTTGTTTTCTTATTATCTCTGAAAATTTCTCAAGATAGGTCATGTTTATCATTCAGGGTAGCAGGTACCAGTTATTAATAAAAAATGAAGAAAATCAACAGTTTTTTGTAAGAAACTGCTGAGTTATAGAAAGAATGAAAACTATTGTAGATAAAATACTCAATGGAAAGAAAGAAAATTATATCTAGTTCAAACATAAGATTGTAAAGAATTTCATCAGCAATGGGTTGCTGGCATCAGAGTACAAATACATCCCCACTGAAACTTTTTAATTTTGAAAGGGGCTGACCTTACATTTTTAGCCAACTTTCAGGAACATTTCATGTAATTGATGTTAAATATGTATATTCTCATAAAATGCAAATATAATTATTTGTATATCATTTCTTATTATTGACATAGTTGATAAATTGATTAAATGCCAAGGGCAGATAAATCAAATTGTCTGACTGAATACAGTGCTCAATTGTAAGCAAAGTGCTTGAATAACTGCAGTTCTAAGGAAATTTATTTTCTAATAATCTATAAAAAGATCTAAATAACTTAAATATTAAGAGATTAACTAGATTTTCTAAGAAAACCATTCCTTGGAACTCTTAATGAAAGCCAAGAGATCAATTGGAGAGTGTCCATGTGTTGTTCATTGTAAAAGGGTAGGGATCATTAATCTCTTCCTTCTTGAGAATGCATTGCTGAAATAAATTTTATTTTATTGAAACATATGATAAAGGCATCTAAAAGCTTATGTATTATTTTTTTATTATTTACAACATATTTGAATTTCTTTTAAGCATTTGTGATGTAATACCTTTAAAATAATCATGTTTAAATAGAATTTACTTGGAGATAATTATTTTAAAAAATATCAAAATAAAATTGAAAAAAAAATAACTGCAGATAAGAATGACTCTTGTTATTCAAATAAACCAAATTTAACAAAATTCCTTCATTTTTCAGCATCATTAGAGCACAAAATTACCCCCACCCCTTTTCAGGTGAATATCAAGATTGGATATGGCAAGGAGGAGGGATATTCAGACACCTTTTTCATAATTTTTTCAGTTATAATTTTGCATATTTATTGCATTTTCAATGTATTTTCTGCAAAAACATATAGTACAGGAATTCAAATTAAATTTCCCACTAGTGATCTCTTAGTTTCACCAAAAGTATAACTTTTAATTCAAGCTAGAACTGATTACATGGCTGAAACTGGCTTTGCTGCTGGATTGTGCCTCTTGTGCAAAAAACAAAGTAATCTAATTAGTTAACAGCAGTCAAATTTTAATTAGTCAATCAAATCTGATTAACACAAATTTGAAAGAGAATTACTCAATTGTTCCAGTGTCTACATTCATAAATACATGGCTTTGAATGAATTTATCAAACTGCGAGGGGTATATTTAAATGTTTTGTGCATTGATGATGTCCATAAATATTGATATTGTATTATTTACAATATTCACAGGAAATTTCAGCATAAATATTTATTTAAAACTATTTATATGTACATTTATTGAAAATATGAGAGCTAGGGCAAAAAATTTGGCCTTTTTTTTCATTATGTGCAGTCCCCATTGTAAGCCTCAATTTACCCAAACCCTCTAATCTTTTAACAGATAGTAAAAATTAACTAAAATATAATCCAATGCCAAAAAATAGGAACTGCTTGATTTTTTGACTGTAATCAATGTTTATCCATGAAATCATACCTATTCTATGGAGAAATGAAAACATTAACAAAAAGTGGTCAATTTGGTGTATTTAGAACATATATCTATTGCTTATCTCACCTCCTGAATATTGGGACTGACAGTTCCAGCTTAAGTACACCATTGGCTGTTACATTTCACACACCAGTCAATCAGACCCACATCTGTGAAACAAGAAAAATGTCTATAAATTGAAGCATTTTTTTCTAATTTTCTTCCCTTCTTTTGAAATAAAATGGTTAATCTAGCATGTGTTTTGCTTGTTTTTCTTGATTATCTCTCTGAAAATTTCTCAAAATAGGTCATGTTTATCATTCAGGGTAGCAGGTACCCGTTATTAATGAAAAATGAAGAAAACCAACAGTTTTTTGTAAGAAAATGCTGAGTTATGGTAATAATGAAAACTAATGTAGATAAAACAATCAATGGAAAGAAAGAAAATTATATTTAGTTCAAATGTACATAAGACTGAAAAGAATTTTATCAGCAATGGGTTGCTGGCATCAGAGCATCAAATACATCCCAACTGAAACTTTTGTAAATTTGAAAGGCGGTGACCTATATTTTAGCCAATTTTCAGGAACATTTTATGAAATTGATGTTAAATATGTATATTCTCTTAAAAAACAAATATAATTATTTGTATATCATTTCTTATTATTGACATAATAAATAAATTGATTAAATGCCAAGGGCATATAAATCAAATTGTCGGACTGAATACAGTGCTCAATTGTAAGCAAAGTGCTTGAATAACTGCAGTTCTGATGAAATTTATTTTCTAAAAATCTATAAAAAGATCTAAATAACTTAAATATTAAAAGATTAACTAGATTTTCTAAGAAAACCATACCTTGGAACTCTTAATAAAAGCAAAGGGATCATACGAAGAGTTCTCTTCCTTCTTGAGAATGCATTGCTGAAATACATTTTATTTTATTAAAACATACTAGACTGAAAAGAATTTTATCAGCAATGGGTTGCTGAAAAGAATTTTATCAGCAATGGGTTGCTGACATCAGAGCATCAAATACATCCCCCACTGAAATTTTGTAAATTTGAAAGGGGATGACCTACATTTTAGCCAATTTTCAGGAACATTTCATGTAATTGATGTTAAGTATGTATATTATCATAAAATGTAAATATATTTATTTGCATATCATTTCTTATTATTGACATAATTAATAAATTGATTGAATGCCAAGGGCAGATAAATCAAATTGTCTGACTGAATCGATGCTCAATTGTAAGCAAAATGCTTGAATACCTGCAGTTTTGAGGAAATTAAATTTCTAATAATCTATCAAAAGATCTAAATAACTTTAATATTAAGAGATTAACTAGATTTTCTAAGAACCTTGGAACTCTTAATGAAAGCAAAGGGATTTATTAAAACATACTAATAAATGCATATAGAAGCTTATGTATTAATTTTTTTACACCATCTTTTGAATTTCTTGTAAGCATTTGTGATGTAATACCTTTAAAATAATCATGTTTAAATAGAATTTACTCAGATAATTATTTTAAAAAGTATCAAAGATATTGAAAAAAATAGTTGCAGATAAGAATGACTCTTGTTATTCAAATAAACCAAATTTAAATAGAATTCCTTCATTTTTCAGCATCATTAGAGCACAAAATTACCCCCTCCCCCTTTTCAGGTGAATATCAAGATTGGATATGGCAAAAGAGGAGGGATATTCAGACACCTTTTTCATAATTTTTTTCAGTTATAATTTTACATATGTATTGCATTTTCAATGTATTTTCTGCAAAAACATATTGTACTGGAATTTAAATTATATTTCCTACTAATAATCTCTAAGTTTCACCAAAAGTATAACTTTTAATTCAAGCTAGCACTGATTACATGGCTGAAACTGTCTTTGCTGCTGGATTGTGCCCCTTGTGCAAAAACAAAGTAACCTAATTAGTTAACAGCAGTCAAATTTTGTTATAAATTAGTCAATCAACTCTGATTAACACAAATTTAAAAGAGGATTACTCAATCTGTTCCAGTGTCTACACTCATAAAACACATGGCTTTAAATGAATTTATCAAACTGCGAGGGGGATATTTAAATGTTTTGTGTATAGATGATGTCCATAAATATTGATATTGTATTATTTACAATATTCACAGTAAATTTCAGCATAAGTATTTATTTAAAACTTTTTTCATGTACATTTATTGAAAATATGAGGGCTAGGGCAAAAATTTTGGCATTTTTTAAGTAGGGGCAGTCCCCATTGTGAGCCTCAATTTACCCAAATCCTCTAATTTTTAAACAATTAGTAAACCTAACTGAAATATAATCTCAATGCCAAAAAAATAAGAACTGATTGATTTTTGACTTAAATCAATGTTTATCCATGAAATTATACCTTTACTATAGACTAATAGAAACATTAATAAAAAGTGGTCAATTTGGTATATTAAGAACACATATCTATTGCTTATCTCACCTCTTGAATATTGGGACTGACAGTTCGGGCTTAAGTACACCATTGGCTGTTACATTTCACACACCAGTCAATCAGACCAACATCTGTGAAACAAGAAATATGTCTATATATTGAAGCATTTTTCTATTTTACTTCCCTTCTTTTGAAATGAAATGGTTTATCTAGCATATGTTTTGCTTATTTTTCTTATTATCTCTGAAAATTTCTCAAGATAGCTCATGTTTTCATTCAGGGTAGCAGGTACCCGTTATTAATGAAAAATGAAGAAAATCAGCAGTTTTTTGTAAGCAAATGCTGAGTTATGGTGATAATGAAAACTAATGTAGATAAAATAATCAATGAAAATAATCAGAATTTTATCTAGCTCAAATGTACATAAGACTGAATTTTTTTTTATCAGCAATGGGTTGCTTGCATCAGAGCATCAAATATATCCCCACTGAAACTTTTGTAAATTTGAAAGGGGTGACCTATATTTTAGCCAATTTTCTGGAACATTTCATGTAATTGATGTTAAATATGTATATTCTCTTAAAAAGCAAATATAATTATTTGTATATCATTTCTTATTATTGGCATACTTATGAAATTGATTAAATGCCAAGGGCAGATAAATCAAATTGTCTGACTGAACACAGTGCTCAATTGTAAGCAAAGTGCTTGAATAACTGCAGTTCTGATGAAATTTATTTTCTAAAAATCTATAAAAAGATCTAAATAACTTAAATATTAAAAGATTAACTAGATTTTCTAAGAAAACCATACCTTGGAACTCTTAATAAAAGCAAAGGGAACATCCGGAGAGTGTCCATGTGTTGTTCATTGTAAGAGGGTAGGGTTCATTAATCTCTTCCTTCTTGAGAATGCATTGCTGAAATACATTTTATTTTATTAAAACATACTGATAAATGCATCTAACAGTTAATGTATTGATTTTTTATTATTTACACCATCTTTTGAATTTCTTGTAAGCATTTGTGATGTAATACCTTTAAAATAATCATGTTTAAATAGAATTTACTCAAATAACTATTTAAAAAAAATATCAAAGAAATTGAAAAAAATAATTGCAAATAAGAATGACTCTTGTAATTCAAATAACCAAATTTAAATAAAATTCCTTCTTTTTTCAGCATCATAAGAGCACAAAATTACCCCCTTTTTTTTCAGCTGAATATCAAGATTGAATATGGCAAGGAGGTGGGATACTCAGACACCTTTTTCATATTTTTTTCAGCTATAATTTTGCATATTTATATATTTGTATATTATATATATTTTCAATGTATTTTTTGCAAAAACATATTGTACAGGAATTCAAATTAAATTTCCCACTAGTAATCTCTGAGTTTCACCAAAAGTATAACTTTTAATTCAAGCTAGCACTGATTACATGGATGAAATTGGCTTTGCTGCTGGATTGTGCCCCTTGTGCAAAAACAAAGTAACCTAATTAGTTAACAGCAGTCAAATTTTGTTGTAAATTAATTTCATGCATTTGACCAGACCTAGATATAGTTGTGACTGTAACAAAAATATATTGATATAGTTGCATGGTTTTGTTTTTTTTTTTTATGTCAATGAAATGTTATGAAGTCATATTTTTGTCTATTTTTTTTCATGAAGGTGGATTAAACCCGGATTGTCAGAAAATCTTCATAATTTCATAATCAGAGTAATCTAAATAAAATTGAAAGATTAAAAACACTGGTACAGAATGTTTAGGTCTTAATGAGAAGAAATCAACATATGAATTTGATATACATATTTATTCTGATCTCACCCCTGTATGCACTAAGAAAAGAAAACAAAAACACCATTGTGTAGCTACAACAAAGAAAAACTTAACTACTGGAAAGTTATAGAAAACGAGTTACAGCAGGCCAACCCGAGAAAACGATATTAATATGCACTTAGAAATGGAAAACACACACCACTGTGAAGCTACAACAAAGAAACAACTTAACTACAATTTCATCACCCAGTCCAAAGGGAGTTAATCATTTTTATTTTTCTCCTCTCAATATGTATTCATATTCAAAAAAAAAAATCTCATAATATTTTTTTAAGATTTTCAATTCACTGAACATTGTAAAAATTGGGGTCCTTATATTCTTCCTTATTTTATCTATCCCAGAATGAGTCATTGTTCATTATCAATGACCTTATACTAACCATTGTATGTAATTTGAGGCCTGTCACTTCAGTGTTTTGGAAACGAAATTGAAAGGTTAAAAAACTTGGTTCATAATGTTGTGGTCATTATAAGAATATAATTTACACTTGATTACATACTGATTCTAAGCTTACCCCTCCTTTTGATTGTGTGAAGAAAATCTCAGTTCCTCAGTATGAGGCACTTAGAGAGGAAGAGCAGATGCCCCCTATTTAATTTGTTGACAATTAATTTAAAAAAGAGTCATTCTTTCTGATAACAAATTAAAGCTCAGTCTCGGAAGTCTTAAACAGTATTATCAATAAGCTACATATTTTTAAAAGAGCATTTCAGATCAATTTAAAAAAATAGATCAAGAAGTGTGATGATTTTGAATTTAAACCCCAACATGTTCAAAACAATAAGGGACTGGAAAATGAAACATTTCAAAATTTACCTTCGATGTACAGAAAACATTTCGACAAAATACATCAGGTGGATAGCAGTCTCCATTTTTTTCCTATATATAGAAAATGCTCATGCGGATCAGATACATGTACCAACCTCTCCAGGGGACTAAAAAGCCGAAAGATAGAAGTCCTCTATAGTGCAAGAAAGAAAATGAACATAAAAAGTAAATTTTATTAAAGCATAAAACATGAATGATTTTTTTTAAGTTTCTGAAGTTGTGAAAATGCTCATGCAGATCAGATACCAACCTCTCCAGGGGCCTATATATATAGCTAAAAGATAGAACACCTTTATAGTGCAAGGATGAAAATGAAATAAATTTAAAAATAAAACGTGAATGAAAGAGTAAGATTTTTTAAGTTTCCTACCAAACCTTAAATTTACATATCTCCTACATTGCTGAATGTTAAAAAAAATGATCGACATAGTTTGGTAAATGTCATTAATGTACAATATCACATTCATTTAAATATCAATACATGAAAGGTGAAATGTGATATATGCAGGTTATTGACACAAGCAAAATTAGGAGCCCGAGGTCTCAACAATAAGATTTTATCATGTTGAAAGTCTTCTCTGGCTAATCAATCTAAGGGAAGTAACTCTTAGTACTAAAACAGGCCAACCCGAGGAAACGATATAAATATGTACTTAGAAAAGGAAAACACACACCATTGTGAAGCTACAACAAAGAAACAACTTAACTACAATTTCATCTGCCAGTCAAAAGGGAGTTAATCATTTTTAATTTTTTACTCTCGATATGTATTCATTATTCAAAAAGAGTATCTCATAATAACTTTTCAAGATTTTCAATTCACTGAACATTGTAGAAAAAGGGGTCCTTATATTCTTCCTTATTTATCTATCCCAGAATTAGTCATTTTTCATTATCAATGACTTTATACTAACCAGTGTATGTAATTTGTGGCCCGTCATTTCAGTGTTTTGGAGACTGTGACCATCTCAATTGTTGACACCTTCCTGTTGCAACAAGTGTTGTAGGGAATGAATAACTTTTATACATGAGATCAGACCTGGATATAGTTGTGACTGTAATGAAAAATATATTGATGCAATTGCATGCTTTTGTTTTTTTCGGATGTTAATAAAAGGATATAAATTCACATTTTTTGTCAATTTTCTTCAAAAGTGTGGTTTCTCCAAGACTTGAGATTACTCTTAAATTTGATAAATCATAACAAATTAATTAGAATTGAAAGATTAAAACACTGGTTCAGAATGTTTTGGCATTTATAAGACTATAATCTACAACTGATATACATACTGATTTTAATCTTACCCCTCCTTTTGATTGTGTGTAAAAACAAGTCTCAATTCCTCAGTTGGAGGCACTTAGAGGAATAGTAGATGCCCCTATTCCATTTGCTGACAATTTATTTAGGAAAGAGAAAGTCAATCTTTTTGATAACAATTCAAAGCTCAGCCTCGGAAGTCTTGAACAGTTCTATCAATAAGCTACACATATTTAAAAGGCCATTTCAGATCAATTTTTAAAAAAATAAATCAAAAATTGCGATGATTATGACTTCAAACCCCAAAATGCTCCACACAATAAGGGGCTAGAAAATTAAACAATGGAAAATTTAACTTCAACGTACAGAAAACGTTTCGACAAAATACATCAGGTGGATAGCAGTCTCCATCTTTTTCGTATATATAGAAAATACTCATGCGGATCAGATACCAACCTCTCCTGGTGCCTAGAAAGCTGAAAGATAAAAATCCTCTATGGTGCAAGGATAAAAATGAACCAGAAAAGCAAATTCAATTTAAGTATAAAACATAAATGAAAGAGAAATTTTTTTAAAGTTCAATATTCAAAAAATTGGGGCCCCTATATTCTTCCTTTTTCATCTATCCAAGCTTTAATCATTTATTATTATCAAATCAATGTATGTAATTTGAGGCCTGTCACTGTGACCATCTCAATTGATGACACCTTCCTGTTGCAACAAGTGTTGTAGGGAATGAATAACTTTCATACCTGTGATCATACCTGGATATAGTTGTGACTGCAATGAACAATATATTGATATAGCTTATGTTAATAAAATGTTATGAAGTCACATTTTTGTCAACTTTTTTTCATAAAGGTGGATTAACCCAGACTATGAGAAAAGTTCCAAAATTTCATAAGCATAGTAAACTAATTGAAATTGAAAGATTAAAAACACTGGTACAGAATTATTTGGTCTTAATGAGAAGAAATGAACCTATGAGTCAGATATACATATTGATTCTTATCTTATCTGTTGTTGATAAAGTGTGTGTAAAAAAGCATTCAGCACGCCAAGTTTGAGGCACTTGGAGAAAAAGCAGGTGCCCCCTATTAAAGCTGTTTACAATTAATTTAGACAAGAGAATGTCAACTTCCATATTAACCTAGCAAAAAATTGCTCAATTTGTAATTTTCAAAAATCTTATAATTTCTTATTTATGTGATTTGTGATCAGACCTGGATATATTTGTCACTCTAATGAATAATAGATTTAAGAATTGCATTTTTTTTTGTTTTTTGGGTTTTTTTTTTTGGGGGGGGGGGATGTTAATAAAATTTTATAAAGCCACGTTTATTTCACCTTTTTTGAATTTAAAAGAGTAAAGCTAATAAAGTAAAACTGAAAGGTTTTGAAGCTTTCAAAAGTATCAAAGTATCTCTATGTGCAAAATTTGAAAAGCGTAGAAAATGAGTTGCATAGTATCAATTTGATGAAACAACATGCACCAAAAAGAGGGAAAATACAGACTTTTGTGAAGCTACAACGAAAAAAAAAATAATCAGAAATTCCTCATTCTGCAGTCAAATGGAAGCAATTCAGTTGCTCACATGCAGATATATGAAGTCAAGACAGGAAAATGGGCTCCTTTTGCTTGACTTCCAAAACAGGCCCTTCCAAGGGCCATACAATAATTCTAACAGATTCCAAAAGTGCAAAAGGTTTAAGAAACTCAATAGAAATGAACACCGGGTCTCAGACCCTACACTTCTATTAATGTGCATATATAAAGCAAAACATAGAAAAACACACATGTACATACACAATACATACATATATTTCTATATACATACAAACATTCATCACAAGAGCAATAAATTGCTTTTTCTTAACTTACTTTCCTCCTCTTGCTCTGGCAATAACACAACCCTAAACTATTTTCAACTTTCATCTCTACCCCTCCCCCTTTGACCTCTTTTGCAGAGAACACAACTCCTCTAAAAC